TAAATCAATAATTTTAACAGAGTTATAGTTCTGTCCTCCAACTACAGATCCATATAAGAATTTAGCCTATCGTTCTGTCTCCAGATTAATAAAGTTGGCTGGGAACCCTACAGACTCTGAACTTCCATTGATAAGAGTAAATATTATCGGGAAAAAAAAAGTCAAAAAAGATTGTTTTATTAATTAACATATGCAAAATTTCCTTTGGCTTCAGGGGAAAGGTTAATGAAGCTAGTGTCACACGCACATTAGAGAGTTCACGTTCACCTACGTTCAATACCTAAAACTAAGGACCAGATAATAAACACAAGCTGTTTTAGAAGTAGTTTTCTACTGACTATATGAGTGTTTGTGATGCAAATCCTTGGCCAAAAGCAGTAAAAGAGTCATTTGACAGAGAGCTCAGCCTTGAGAGCTAAACTTAAAGTAATCCAGAATGAGGCAAAGTTCATGCTCAAGAAGCATGCCACAGAAAAAACGTGCAGAACAAGCAGAAACGTCATAGGAAAAAAAACCAAACCCAACTCATCAATGTTGCCCAGGTGCTTTGGTAAGGTATAGCAAACAACAGGAAAGGAGTACGCGGTACTGAAACCCTGCTATACATTTACTGAATAAAGGTATTAACACATGCAAACAAGTGTCGCTAACTCACAATAAAACAAGCAGTAGAAAAATGGTCTATCAAAAAGTATCAGTTGGAATAGCAAATGATAAATACAAATAAACACAGTTATTTTCATACTGGATCTGAAATAACGGAGGGATATAAACGATAGAAGTATTAACTGTACACAGTAAACAAATGAAGTCTCCTTTGTACAGAAGTGCATAAAAGAACATATTGGTGGGATGGAGGGCTAGTTTATACAAGCTAGAAGTTCTCCTGTCCATATTTAAGAAGAACTTACGAAACTCCAAAATAACAGCTTCTGCTATTGTATCAGGTAAGATACAATCAATGTTTATTTTCAAATGCTCTTTAGAGAAACTTTTTTTGCCTCTTATTCCTTGAGATTTATGTTTATGTCTATGTATTTTAAATTGTCCATATTCTCGAATGTGACAATCTGAACACATTTTCATTTCAAGACACAGAATAACATCCAAACAACTAATGAGCTCATGTACGGATGCAGCAATCTGTCATCCTGGAGCAGAGGATTAAAAGGTCATGTTATAACAGCAGCTTTGTTTCTCTCATACAGGATGGTTAACACTAAAAATTATGCTTTCAATTTCATAAAAGTAGTAAAGGAAAAATATAGGGAAATTTCATTTTTCATACTGGCAGTTTTTTCACTAGTAAAATCAGAAATGAAAAAAAGAATCAAAAAAAGTAAGTTAACACAGACAAAAAAGATTTATACAGGTATATTTATTTTATTTCTGATCAAACACAATTTCTTTAGCCCTCAAAAAAAGCATTAAAATTTTATTTGCATGTCTGTAATAGATGAAAAAGGAGCTTGACTTATATGTTATTTGTAAGATAGTTAAAGAGGAAACCTTTACTCATTAGCTTTCTACTTACAACACTTGACCGGGGGAGAGCCAGGTTTATTGCCCTTTCACACCTGAGAAGACTTGGATCCATATCATCCTTTTTCCAGGAGATTGTCCTAATTACCATATGGTAGTTATTGGGGGGTGCTTCCACAGAAAGTTCTTCTATGAAGGTTTCTCTCTTTATATAAAATAATATGATATTAATCGGAGAAAGGACTGAGACCCAAGTGAATTCCTTGACAAGAAGCCTACAGCCATACATACAGTCTTTCAGCCCCCAGCTTACCCCTCCCCACCAGCTTCCTCCCCTCAGGTTCACCAGTTTGGCCTTTCAGATTATTAAGAGCAAACTTTTATGGGAATTTGGGTATGTATGAAATTGCCTTTTTTCTTTCCTTTTGGCAAATTACTTTAAAACATGAAATGTGTTTTCAACTAAAAATACAGTTTCCATGTCACTCTTGTGAAGAAACATACTTTTCTGAAAGAATGGAAAGATCAAGTCACAGACATTGTGTTTGACACTGGGAGGGTAGGTGGCAGGAGTCTTCATCACTCCTTATCAAGAAAATTTTAAAGTTCTTGGTGTACTAGATCCAGAAACTTTAAACTAAATATCAAGCTGTTCATTTCAAAAAGAAATAAAAATGATCTACCAGGAAAATCTGAACAGTATGCATTATAATTGAAGGAAAAACATTTCCTTCAAAGTCTTACAGCAAAAAACAGGCCTAAATTACCTACATCCTTCTTATTCAAATTTTCCATTAACAGCAGTGGAACTTCTTGGCAGAATTCAAGCAGAGAATATTCCAAGGAGATCGTCCTTTCCGCCGCAAGAGCAAGATCTGAGCAAAATTTCAGTGGTGGGGGCTTTCTAGTAGGACATTTGAAAAGTCTGTCCACACTGTATGCGTACTCCATGTGAAGACATTGAACTAAAATTACCATTTAATATTGCACCAAGTTGTATTTTCTGACAGTATCCATAATTGAAGATGTAATAAATTCACAGGACTCCAAGCAACACCTAACTCTGATTCTGGTCAGAGCAAATATAAACATGATAATGCTTAAAAACAAACAAACCAACAGAAATCGGTCAGCTGCCAGACAGCATCATAATTTTCCCTCATAGTACATCAACAGAAGTAAAAAATTATAATCAATCTGCATTTATAATAAAAACAAAACCTTTTTTTAAATGGAGAAACAGAACAATAACAAGAAAAAAGGTGAATATCCCCTGCTGAGATTTCAACACTGAGAAAATAGCCATCCTTGAAAAGCTTCTGTTATCGTTTGATTTGCCAACCACACTAACATACCTTGATAACCTTTCTGTCATGCCTGACAACACAGAAACATATTCATGGAAAGCAACAATGAAATTTTTAAGCTAGCTTGTTGGGTAAAATGTGGGTCCCAATTAAGTCAGTGTCAAATACCCATTGATTTGTAAATACCCAAGATTTAAGCCTATGGTGCAAAAACACCTCAGTCTCTTGAAGACTGCATCATCTCTAGCATAGTTTTCAGAAACGGCATTAAATTAACCCAAATCCCATGGTTGATTGAACAAAATTCTTGATTCTATCATTACTAGCTTGCTCCCGATACTGGTGCCTTTGATGTAATCTGTAAAAGAGCAGTTAACTCTCATGCAAAGAATTTTGTGTTTATCACCTTGTTGAGAAACCACTTTTCAAATGTTGCAATTATAACCCACAAGATAAAAATTCCACCAAAAATCTGAGATCAACCAAAGTACATATTAATAAAAGGGATTTTTCTCAACTGTTCAGTAATATTTGTGCTACTATTTCTCTGCATTGTGATTTGTCATATATGTTAAGTAAGAAGACCTAAAAGTGAAACAGCGGTGAAACCAGAAGATACAAGATTTCACTTCATGCCTGCTGGTTTAAAATCCCCTTACACTAAGGATATGATCAGAATCCTTTGCATTCAATGCAAAGACAACTCAAATTTTCACAGACTCAGGGGTCAGACTAAAAGTTTCACTTCATGTCCTAGGCACTTAGATAAAAACACTAGTTATCTATAAAAATGTAATAGTCACTATAAAAACAGTCATCACCCAACTAATTGAAAAAATACAAACTCTATGTATAACGAAAATGAACAATTATTTGGGGCATTCATCACTTCCATGTGTTGCTCTTCTGTTCATCTAGTAGATTTTTAAGTCAGAATATACCAATATGATAACTTATTTTGATCATCTATGTAGTGCACTAATTTCCTCAACAAGCCTATGACTTCTGGTGAACTACATCATATTTGGAGAAAAAATAAACTCTTGTAGCTTTTCATTATTATTATTATTTATGGTTGGACTTGATGATCTTTGAGGTCTCTTCCAACCATAATGATTGATTCTATGACTCTATGATTATGGAATTTTATCACCAAAGGAATATATCACTGAAAGCTTTCATTTTAATGGAATTTTTAATGAGTAAATTAAATTTTATTTCTTATTAAATCGGTTTCACCAGTTTTCTGGTTTTTGTCAGCCAAAAGCTGAACCCAAAAAAGTATGTTGTTCACAAATGTTCCCATCTGAACTGAGTGGAGCTCACAATTCTCTAAAAAAGATTGCATGAATTAATGCAGTTCATGTCACTAAATTGGTTGTAGAACCAATAATACAGACATTTATTCTACTAATAATACCGGGATCAGCATGCGCTACAGGCATACTGTGCCTGGAATCATTTAAGTATGAATGTGGTAAACAAAGATCAATATCGTCTATGTCTGACAGGAGGAAAATCCAGCAGACGTTGTATGGAACTCACTGTAGATACAACGCTAAATACAACCTATGCTAACCTAAGTGCTACCTTCCAGGAACGCAACATGTATTGCGATACTTCCAGCAAACTTTTCTCCTCTAATTAGAGGTTTCAATCAAGAACTGGTGACCTAGAGCACTGAGTGTCATGGAAAGGAAAGTTTTATTCAGATGCGAAAAAAAGTCATCCTTTGCCATTTGTTCTTTTTTTATAAAGAATTAATATTCTCACCGTGAGACCAATTTGCTCAACAAGTATTGCATTAACCTTCTTAGTAATTTTCTTTACCTGCTTTCAAAGCAGTCTCGGAAATTCAGGTACACTTTTCATACACACTTGAAAATTCAACCAAAATGACACTGTCTGGTTTTCAACAATCAAAAAGAACCTCAAATTTTCCACTGAATAACCTCCCCCCGCCTCCCCCAGATGGCACTTCAAAAGGCAACTGTAGTTCAGATACATTGCATTTCTGTCCTTCAAACCCATGACTATTTACTGTCAGAGACAAGTTCAAACACTGGAGTTCTCGTCAGAGGGGAACTCTGAAGATCAAATTGTATGTTCAGACAAACACATTTCTCCTCTATGGTTCCAGCCTTCTAAAATCGGAGAGTCCTGCTCTTAAAACACCCTCCCGTAAACCTGAAGAAGGATAAAGTGACCTACCTTAGAAAGTCCGCCTACTTCCAAATAGAAGCAGATAATGAAAACATTCCAGGTGACCCACAGGGCAGTCCACACGGTGTACTAAACACAAAGCCGGATGAAAGCAAAAAGACAGAAAAATAAAATGTGAAGATGAAAGGACTTTATACTGAGCAGATCAATAATAAAAACCTAATATCAATAAACATTGTTCTTCTGGGAACAGCCAAGCGCAGAGAGCTCAGAAAAGGAGCTCTCCCTGCAGAAGGCCCCCAAGAACCACAGGAAATTACAAATCCAATATTCGTTGCTGCTCTAAATAAATACCAATAGAACAGATTTATTCTTTACAGTTTTTCACTACCCTACTGATACCAATTAAGTCCAAAATGCTGACTTACTTAAACATTGGTTTTGGGGCAACTGTGAGTCATTCATAAATCATGATTTAGCTCTGTTAAAGGAGATTCCAGTATAGTACTAGAATTTAAATATGCAAATATTGTCAAAATAATACTTAAATATTATGAAGAAAGACACAAGAAAAAAACCACCACCAAATAAAACAGAAGATCTATTGTTCTGATAATTCAGATCTTTTTTTTAAAAAACAAACAGCTAAAGGGTGGATCTGATCTCTTCAGAGTCTTTCTGTAAAAGGTATTTTAATTACATTACAAACAACTCACTACTTCTCCAGCCCTTGTGGCCATGAACCTGATCCTACAGTGGATCACCGTAACAGGTGAACGTACCCATACCTCTTCTGGGTTCTCCAGCGTCCTACCCTAGTGTGAGACTCAACTCGTACTCCACCCACAGCATGAATGGGACATTAATTTGTCTACTTTAAATCACCTTTTGCATTTTAATTGTCAACATAATTGACTGGCACTATTTCCTTCTCATGTTAACCCATATATGACTGTAAACTATGCCCAGTGAACTGGGGCATAGTTTAAAGGAGCAGCAGCGCTACCACTTTACGTATTTATGTGCTTGTAACCTTCATGGGGGAGAACTGCTGCTAAGTGCCTTTGCAAGTCTAATTAGCTGTGACCAGATGAAGCTAATATGTTATTGCTTTTGCTTCAATATAACCAGTAAAGCTCAACACCTTAATCTACAATATACTGGAACCCATTTCCATCGCACGGGTGCCGTCAGCTTGGCTTGCTTGGGCAACGTTCTCCTCTTCCTTCCCCTCCTTCTGATGTATCATGAAAGGTTCAGGTGAAGAGGGCTGAATTTTTCCCCACTTTGATTACCTCCACATGCATACAGTTGTTTCTGTATACCAAACAGGTTAGCTGCTTTAATCTAATTTCTTATGAGGTACTCAGGCTGTTTGGAGATGGCTATAGAATAAGAAGTAGATCATTGATAAACAAAACGAGAGTGACATTGCTGGGCCATTTCCTCTGGATTACAGAGAAGGGCAGTGTGGCAAGTGAAGGCCGGGTGGTTACAAAATAGACAAAGCTTCTGTGGTCTGTGAGTGGTATAAGGTCTGTACTATCCATAAATTAACTTAAAAGAGGATACCATATTTTACCACATTTGCTGACTTTGTAGTAACTCATCACAAGCTCCTGATTTTCCAACGTACGTCCTCAGAACATCAGGTGCAGGGTGTTCAAAATTAATGAACACTTAATACAAGGCCAGTTGCACATAAAAAGCAGATTTCAGAATATTCAGGAGAATTCCTCTTTTTAAGAAAAAAATTTTTATTTGTCCATGAATGAAATCTGTCACACAACAGGAAACCTACTTGATCTGCCAGGCCAAGCCAACTCTGCTAATGGCCTCATTCTGTTCCATGGGCACCAATGCCAACTCTGAACCATGGAGGCAAAAACTGCCTGCAAGTGCTTTCCCAGGCCAAGTTGCACTGTTTTAGGCAGTCGGGATCTGTTCGGTTCTTTATCCGCTGTGAGGATTACTGAAGGAGAAATGCAGGTGCAAAGCAGGTGTGCGCCTTGACACCCAGCTGCTGTCTGTAGAGAGGCTTTTCCTACACCCTCACTGAACTGCAGGAATATAAATTCAAGCTCCATTTGCTTTAAGAACATAATAATTATATATTCAGTAATTAGTACTATATAATTTTTAAAAGTCAGAAAGGTATTGTCCACATTTGAAAATACATCTTTTTGGATATGCAAGTAGCAGATGTTTTCCTTGTATAGTGTCATACGTACTTAAGGAAGACTACATTAAAAGAAAAGTTTTAAGAAGGCAAAAGTAAGAAAGCAAAATGTCAGAATTCTGGTTATACATGCCATCTTAATTTTTCTATTTTGTGGATGTGCTATACAATGCAAACACTAATTAAATCATCATAGGTATAGCTTTATTTTAAAAGACCTTACCTCCCTTAATACATTTTATGAACAGCTAACTCAATACTTCATTTCTCTTTGTCGCTCAGACACTGCTCTGAGAACAGAATATTAATTTCCTCCTGAGGTTTTCTAGATGCTCATCGTTGTAATGTGTGAGAGCAGCACAAACATTAACTAATTTATTTTATGTTATAAGGGAATGATACAGCTCTCAGAATGCAAATGATGTTCTGATACATGCAGAGATTACATTCAGAAGTGTTCATACATTATAGGCATCCAACTTGAGATACTTAAGATTTCATTTTTCAGAACATTTGGGGTTATAAAGCGCTTTATAAGCTCAGTGTTCAGCTCCCCATGGCTGAGCGTTCGGCACTTGTGCAAATCAGACCGCAAGGTCTCAAGACCAGAACCCAGAAGGCAAGGGGAAAACAAAGCACATGAGAAGTTTGGTTTAAGTGACTCGCGTTGTGTCAAAAAAGGTTTTGGTAGTCGAGAGCAGAGATAAAACTCAGCTACCCAGCACAGCCTTCACAACAAAAGCAATCCTTTTATTCTTGCTGTCACATCCTTATTCTTCCCATGTTTTCTGTTTTCTGCAAATCAACTTTCTATTCTATAACTGCGATCACCAGAAAACCCCAACTGTCTGTCCTTTCTATTGCAACTGAGGTGTCCCTTGAAAAAAACTGGTATGCATCTGCGCAGTTCAAAACTGCAAATATATAAAAGGATCACTTTAAGATTGCACAGGAGGGCTTTAACAACTGCGTTTCTTAATTTTTGAGTGTTTTTTCCTGAAAAACTTGTAATGCTTTCTGAACATTATGTGTATGTGTGTAAATATTTTTTTTTTAAAAAAAGTAGCAATATTCCTTTATGTGGCATCACACTAACTCCTGCTTGGGTCGCTAAGAGCAGAGTAACTTTTAGATCCGTGATGAAGACCTCTCCTTTTTGCTAGCAGAAACAGCCCACAGACCCACGTTTCTGTCCTCTGTGTGAAGGGACATGTCCTGCACCCTGGCAGACACTCTGCCAACGGGGGAGCCGTTAGGGTCTGAAACATCAGGTCCACACTGATCCTCAGGGATCATTTCCCTCCGGAGGCACCTCATCTAACCTTGACCTGCTATTCAACCCCTCCGCCTCCATGTCCTGAACACTACCCTGACCGTCCCGCTGGGTCTGCTCACTCTTACCCCCCGATGACCAGCGATTCCTGCCCCGGTTCTTTGGTCAGACACAGTCAATCATCCCTCAGCTCAGCTGCTCTTATGCTCAGCATCACAACCCTCACCATAGTTGGTATGAAGAAGGAATTTTCCACATAGGTTGAACCACTAAGTAGAGTTGGGGGTTTTATTTTATACCCCATATGATGCACTACTTAAAAATCACCTGGACTTCTTCGCTTAACAGATTCCTTCTGCTGGAAGGACCTCGGGCACTGGTGATAATCTTTGCTGATTTCTCCCCATGATGCACCATATACTGTCCTGCTTTTGGTCCTTTGCACTAAGGATTGCATACTGTGCACTCGGAGACTTCTGTAGAGTACCTCCTAAACCCTACAGGAGAAATAACTATTAAATTATTGTCCAACCCAGTAGGTTCCTTTCAGATTCCCTTTCTCAATGCCAGTCTCTCTACAATACTGATATTTCTATAGCTCTCTTGACCCTACAGGTTGTATTGAAACCAATGCAGAGATACCTTTCATATACCAGTGAAATATAACCATTTCTAGAGTTAAATCATTGCTGTTGGATGGACACAAAACCACAAAAAGAAAGGGTTAAGGAAAAATGCAAAGGATGGCTTCTTAAACTGGAAGGTAAGAGAGCAAAGGGAAATTTCTAAGATTGGCTATTACAAGGATTGTGGGCTAAGTTTAACTTTAATGAATAAACTGTATCTCAAGTGTATATTTAATCTGAAGTGCAGCTCCTCCTCTGACAGTGTCTTGGAGTGAGGGGAAATGTCTGTTGGCTCAGGAACCTCCAAGGGACAGGCAGCAGCTACGGAGTCATCAGATCCGATACCTGGCTCTGCCTCAGAGGCATCAGTGCTTAGAGAGCCCTGCATCGTCGTATTTGTGAGGGACGACATGGGAAGTGGGATAAACCAGCACGATGGAACAGCAACAGCTCAGGACTTACCTGGAAGGATAGTCAAGGAGTAGTTTTGGATCCCTAAATATTTCACACATGTTTTGAGTGTCTATATAACATAATATTTCTTCTGGTTTTGTTCTTTTTTTAAAAAAAACCTGCATCCTGGCTTTTCAGGTATACACTTTGTATCATAGTATTTAGTGAAATAAATTAAGGCAAGTAAAGCAGAGATTTCCACCTTGTATTCCCCCTATTTAAGTGTATTATTTTCATCTCTTACTGTTCATTAATATATTTATGTTCAGCTTTGGGCCAGGTTTGTGTGATTTTAGCTACATGACTCATCGTTCAGAAGGCTTTTGATGTCCCATATCAGAAGTAGGAGACAGGAAAAAATTCCAACTTTAACAAGTATCCTGTCATCATCTTTAATCAATTTTAACAGCCTGAAAATCTTACTGGTGATACCAAGTTCTGCTAAGAAAGGAAAAGCATGCACGGGGAAACGGAGCAGAGCAGAGCTCTGGAACTGCATGGCGGGTGTGTTATAGCATTGTTAGAACTCAAATTTAGTTGTTTTTTTCTTCTTTGCAAATGTTTGGGTAAGTTTCAAATGAGCTAATATGGGAAAATTAGGAATCAGCTCTGCACTTTTATGTCCCCTGGGAACTTTGCACTGATTTAATTCAGCCACAAAATATTCAAGTACTGAAAATAGCACATCTGCTTAGTGACAGAACAAATTGTTCACAAAAATTGATCTAAATTACTAATTAATACAAAACCTGTTAGAAATCATTATTGGATTTAAGCTAATTAGGACACTTGGAGTTAATGCTGTTGCTCCCTCTCTCTCTCTCTGTGTGTATTTCCTAAGCTCTGAGGACTCAGAATTTTGCCTGCGAGCAAGTGAAATTCCAGATTTATTTCAGAATCACCATCCCTACAGTCCCATATCTGAAGGACCGCAGACAGACAATATGAACCCCTGCCTTTATCTACTTGGCATGAGAATCATATTCAACAGAGATGCTTCGTGATTCAGCCATTGCATGGCAGCTCTGAGAGGGTGGGGCATTTTTTTGGTAGAAAGCTCTCAGATCAAATTTTCTATCACTCAAACTAAGAAGCAAAACTCATTCAGACTTTTAATCCACAATGGTTATGCTTATGTTGCTGTCAAAGAAATGACTGCAGCTTACGTAGGCATTAAATGCTAGTGATAAACTAGCTAGCCTGGGTTCAATGACAGTGAAAGAATTAGAAGAACGCAACTGCTTTTGTGTTTATCCAGCTTCTATCGTGGCCCTCCCTGAGCTCCTTGGCTGTAGGTACCTGCACCAAAAGCCTGCTCAATTGTGCCTGCAGATCTAGTCTCATATTTGACTGTAGCACAGGTGGGCCCTACATGTAATACATTTCTTCACTTACTTTCCCTTTCCTGCCGTATGTTAAATTTTGAGGGGAGATAACACGACATATGCAGCATCGGATGGCAAAGTGAAAGCTTTTGTGTAACTTCTCCTGCCAGGGAAACCTTCAGGGACAGTCTTCATTGCACAGCAGATGGATTAAAGACACTCTCTTGAGGTCAAACCAAGGATCCTAGAGCTGGTCAGCTGAAGTCAAGATCCCTACCAGACTATCATAGAATATCATGGGGACAATTTGCACCCCCGTGCACCAGACTAATTTTGTGCAGACAGTTTACAGAAGTAAACTGTTGTATCTGATATGATTCTCTCTTTACTTCTATTTTTTTATATTCTGATGGGCTTATCTGCACTAGCAAAGCTGATTTCCAGGGAAGTCTTAAGGAAAAGACAATGGATACTAAGCATACTTTTCTTGAAGTATTGGGTTACTTCTCCAGTTAAACTAGATTTAGCTTAATCTAAATCAGAAGCTTCAGAGTACATAAAAGCACGACTCAACAGATTTCTTTTGTCAAAGCCACCATACCAAATTCTCGCTCTAATGTGGGACACCAACCACCAATATATCCAGGGGCTTAGATGTGGCTGAAGGTGCAGCTATGGACTCAGAAGCCCATGAAGCTTCTCAATAAATTTGGAGCCCAATTCACTACTCAGAGCCCAGGTAGGAATCTTTCTGCATTGTGTTTAAGTAATACTGAAATTCAGGACCCTACCAAAGATTTGCATTAAACAGACTTTATATTTGAAGCCAGCAGTAAAAGTTTACTGCTGTAACAGGTGGACTGTGTTTTTAAAGAGTTTCCGAAGCAGACAGGCAGTCTATGTCCTTCCTTGGGAGAGGTGCCTTCGGATTCCCTTTGGCCTTAGTGAAGACAGCCTGGAGCTGGCACTGGTAGGGGTCTTTGCTGTCCGTACCACTGACTCTAGAGCTTCTGAGGACAGCTGGTGAAGCCTAGCTGCGATTGGGACAGCCCTAGGAAGCACAGCTCTGGGAAGCATGTGTTAGGTATAGCTTGGGAGATCCTCAGGCTATAGCTCAACGAGCACGTTAAGCTGATGTAACCCTGCGCTGCTGCAGCAAGCCTCCATGCACTTCTCCTCTTCCTCTGGCTACTTGTTCCCATTTCCCCTCTCGCACCTCCTCCCTACTCCTGGAACAAACAAAACACGTCAGACAGCTGACCTACACTTAAATTAACAGCGGAAAAGAAAACGATTGCTTTTCACCTGGCTCTGTCCTGGTTTGATAGTTTATCAAGTGGCTGAACTGACACTTGTGCTGGTGCAAACGAAGGAAGAGCACAGGGACTGAAGACAGCAGCTGAGCAAAAGGAGGATTATTGCTTATGCCGGCTTGAGATATTCATTGAATTCAGCCTGAGGGTGAAGCTAGACAAGACGCTGAACTGACAAGTTTGTAGCTAGCAACAAGGGAAATCTTGCATCTCCTCCTTTCCCCTCCTCCTCTGCTCTGCTGGTCATGACTGCGCACTCCCAATCCTTGCCTTATGCGGGCTCTGGCACCCATTGGGACCCTCACAGACCAGATTCAGCTCACCAGTCTAGCAAAAAACTCTTCTTTTTTTTGCTGGGTTGGTTTTCTGACAGCTTAGGAGTGGAACTGGCTTACTGCAGGGGCGGTTAACTGCTGCCAGAATTGGTGGAGAGGGTTTGGAGAAGGAGTCAGACAGCACTGCTGGTGTTGAGCTGTGAGGCTGGTTTCAGACAATTTCTGTACTTTCATTCTTCAGACTTTGGGATTTGGCTCAAATTATTCCTACTTCACTGGGAACCTTACATTAGTAAGGATAGAAGCTGCTCTAAAGTCTTGATCTTCCCAAGCAGTGAGTATTTGCACCTACTATAGCTTGAGCTCTTAAGTATATGCTTAAAGTTAAATCAGACTGTGAGTTCAGTTAAATCTAAGTGTAAAGTATCTTCTTGAAGTGTTTCTCTCTTTAATTATGAGTTTTCTACCTCTACTTTAAAACAACTTTAATATAGTCTAAAATGTTCATTTACATTGGCAAAGATATAGAAACAGTCAACATCTGTTGTGTTTCATTTGAAAACTAAAGCAGAGCTTCCACCACTGAACAGCAGGGCTGAACCTGAAGGGCAAGAGATTTTGTGGTGTTGTGCTTCAGACATGAATTTCCAACGTAATTTTACAGACGCTTACCCTCACTTGCTTCCAATATCTTACGTATAAAATGGAGAACATGAAGCAGAAAGGTGAGTCATCAATATATGGATGTATATACACTGCTGCCCAGTTCTCCAACCACAGGTAATAGATAAAAGTGCTATTATTTACATCAATCCATTTTAAATTACTTATAGTCTGCTTGTGAAGCTTAGCTAATGTGAGTATAAAAAACCTTGGGTGCACTTTTTGTTCACTTTTTCTTCTAAGACATGACAAAGAATTACAGGATTCCAGGCTTGACTAGAAAAGATGAAGCTTTTTAAGTATTTGTTTAATGAGTTTTCCCCAGTAGACATCTATTTCACTCTTTTGTAAGGAAAAAAAAAATTAGCCTCTTAAAATCCATTACTGACAACACAACTGAAATGTTCCAGATACAGACACTGCCAGGTAAAGACATAATATTCATCCATTCAGGAGAGACTGCGGGGGAGGAAAAGGGATATTTTTTGTTGGCAGTTTCCTTCACAGCTTTGAAAGTTTTTTTTATTCCTGGCTATGTTGAGAACACGGGAAAAAAAATCTGTGAAGCTTCAAGTTACAAGCATCAGAGAAAATTTAGCAACATTTAGGGCCAAAGCCATAAATACAGGTCTTGGCAAAGTTAGATGTAAGCGAGAAGGAGATTTCTTTGGAACCTATGGGTCACAGGACAAAAGGAATTTCTACAATCCTTGCTTCTCTCTGTTTAAGAGGAAGATGTAGTTAAATATAACCTGACCATTACTTTTTTTTTTTTAATGGCCATTGATTCTTCTTGTTTATTGCAAAGAGAACCACAATTTGTATTTCTCTTCTTCATTTATGCATAGTCTAATGGTAGATGTTCCCATGACCCATGTAGGCATTTCATTCTTTAAAGAATCTTACTAAGAACTTGTATCACTGTCATAATTTTGGTAGAACTTTCTCTAGGTCACCCATTCTTGATAGCTTCCAAAATCTCAGAAATACAACTCAGTAGTCTTAAGTTTCTACAGAAATACCATTTGGTGTTTTGAAACCATGAAAATTCTGCTTTGTAAATACGATAGGTTTTAAAACCAATTGCAAAAAAATAATAGATAATAAATGAGACTTACCACGACTATATATCGAGGCCTAAACTGGATGGTTCCAAACAAACCCAAAATGACAACTATTATTTGTAGGAAATTGCCAAGGATAGGAGCCCATTGGAAACCAAGGAAGTCAAAGATCTGTCTCTCTAATGCTGCCAGCTGTAAGAAAACACATAAACAGAACATCCACTTTTTAATTATGGGTGAGACAGAGCACTTGATATTTCGTTATTTGCATCAGGCTTCCCCAGAGAAAAGTACGAGAAAATTCTGAAACTACAGTTCCTGGGTGTAGCCTTTGTCAGGGCTGTCAGTACATTGGTTTCTGAAGATAATCTACTAGTCAACATACTGATCTTCTAATGAAAAAGCACTTGGAGAAAATTTTAATTTACGAAAATACTTGTAAAACCCTCATACAATACAAAAATACCTCTATAAACTAAATGCAGACAAGTTTTATTTTATTTGCGTGTGCTGGAAACTCTAAGGCTTGACAATATTTATTTAAATACAAAATTGGTACTGAACAGAAGCTCACCTAGATTGAGCAAAGCCATGCGAACCATGCTATTGTTACTGAAGTATCATCATGCTCCCTCCCTTCCCTATGCCTTTGTTTACTTAGATTTAGTCCAAACTAGACTTGACTGCAAGTTCCTCAATCTTTTCCTAAAGGAGAGAGATTTGGGCTAAAAAGGGCAGAGGAGGCTTGGAGGTGTCCCAGATGTGGCTGTTGGGTACGTTCCCAGGAGTTCCCTAATGCAGGAATTCAGGAAGACTGCTGGGACCTCCTCACTACCTGAGGCACGGAGGTAGGCTCAGGGAGTGAAAGGCTGTAGAAAATGTTGGAAGATCTTGGAGTAAGCTGCCTCAAAACCAACAGCCGATTGAGCTATCTGCACTCTGCCAAAAGCTGCTAGGTTACTTTGGGCAACCGCAAATCAGAAAGAGACGGTGGCAGCCTAATGGCTCTCTTCCCACTGTCCTCATGGCATTTTGAGGGTGGATTTAGCTGGGTGTGGAAATGGAGGAAGCTAGGAAGCATCAGCCTTCATCCTTGCATCACCATGTGGTTCTCAGGTAATTCTACATTTCTGAATGTTAAGCAATAAGGGGGGGGGCAGGCAGGGAAAGACAGATTAAAATTCTTCTGCAAACACATTTGCTACTCATTTTTGACAATCCAGTCTATTGTTCTAAAGACACTAAAATGAACTTTCTCAGCAGCACACTTGTTGAAGTTTAAACTTGGTTCAATATTTTTCCAGCCATAGCAAGACATTTTTGAGCAGCTAAACAGAATCCTACTGAGAAACAACTGAGTTTCTGTGCTTGCTAGAATTTATTACATATCTACTTGATTTTACTACATTGTTACAAACCCTAAGTTCTACTGAAATATGCACTTAAAATATTTATAACTGAGACAGATGGAGTAAGCATGGCCCTATGAATACCAACCGAAGTTATTATCACATGTGGGTATTTCACATAAAACATCTCATTTTACACATAATGGCCAGATTTAATCCTCACCTACAAGACAGGGTTAGGTGTCACTGAGAGCAGAATCCATCTTTTCTGTACAAAAATCATCCCTTACACCAGTCACGAAAACCACATTCTCTATGTTGAGGTTAATAAATATGATAAATCTAAACAATTAAATGAACAAAGGTTGAATCATCAACACGGTGGAGCGTCTCTGCAATCGGTGAAGTTACACTGACTTTTATCAGCTGAACATCTGGCCCAGTATACATAAATGAAAAATTATCACACAGCAGACAATGTTAAAATAATATTATCCTCTTGGACATGTAAGATGTTCCTATCTTAACAGAAATTATCTTATCCTTTTTGTGCTGTAGGTAAGGGAGAATCTCAGAGGGAACCCCACTACCACGTGAGTGAAGCTGTCGGCTCATGTGGCATTAGGTCTCTACCTTGCTTTTGTCACACTCTGCCCTCTCTTCTTTTAACTCATTGTTCATCTGGATCAATAATTCTTTTTCTTCCCTAGATATGGAAAAGAACTACAGAAGTTAATGACTAAATCCAGAAAGTCACATATTTACATGGACCTCAGATGGAATTTCAGTGCCTAATGGTGTGGTTGTCACCCTCCTGGAAGTATGTGGGCATCTTAACTGATACACAACAACAGTGACCCCAATATCATTCTCGTAATGTCTTGACCTTGTAGTAGACTCACAAGCATCACAATAATGGCCTAGCTGGGACTTCACTAGGGACATCTCAGAATCACTTGGTTTTCCTACCGCTCTCTAATGCATTCCCTCAGGCAATTCAGGTGACGACACATTTGGGAATATCCCTGGCTGTAGCTTCCCTAAACCACAGGATATATCACACAGTTCAGTACAAGGGTGCTCCAAGTCCCATGTGTGAGATGGTAGAGAGCTTCAAAAACTCTTTGGCACTGGCAGAACTCACAGTTTATGCTATTAGCAACAACGTACCAAGAGTGCTGCCCTGTATCCCACAGGAAGTCATTTACAACATCCATGACCAGAGTCAAAGCCTATTTCATTCCCACCACTACCAGTGGACACCTTCCAGGGCCAGCAAGGCACCTAAATAACTCATAGACTGCCATTTTTCAGAGACAGTATGTCTTCTTCTTGGAGTCCTGCCATTACCAAGTGAGTAGAGAATGGAGTTGCCAAATCAGACTAGAATCTGCTCATCAGCCACCTCTGCCCTGACATTGATTGAAACTCTCACGTAGCCCAGGTCTTCACCTGCACCAATACGCTGAGTGTCTCCTATAACACTCCCAGCACTGAAGGCAGCTGGCTTAGGATTGCCTCCACTACCGCATCCTTGGCTCTGAAACAGGGCAGCTGTGCGCGAACTCCACACCCATCTACTCAAAATGGTCCCTGGGCATAGGTCAGCTGTCTGGGAAGATCATTGGTCAAGATGAGCCCAGTTAACACGACAGAGGACTCACTGGCATCCACAACAGCATGCCACTGCCTGCCTTCTTCCCCAGGCACGTGTGAATTTGCTGGTGTAGAGAGCATAGGGTTTGCCCAGAGGGAGCATTGAGGAAATTCATTTCACACAGATGATTCGCTGCAAGAGACGGCTGCTCTTAGACATTTTATGTAGTGCTAAAACACCTAGAGCTCTCGGAAAGACAAAAGCCTGCAGCACAGATACGAATGAAGCTGTTTAGTATGTGCCCCTTCTTAAACTGGTCTTTAGGAGCAACTTTCAGAGCCATGTAGATCAGCACCTTAAATGCCTGAAAGAGATAGTACTGCAACGTCAACGAACACGGCCGCTGCACTTTGCCAACAGACCCGTGTTAACGGGCTCGGTACTCCGCTCCTGCCTACCCTGGCTCAGGTACCAAGCTTGCCTTCACGTGTACCTCCCTGATACCTGCCAAGCAAGCTCTGAGCACATCTAGCAGGGCTGGGCTCCCACAAAATAGCACAGTGGCCACAAGTATCTTTCCAAAGACGATTGTACAAATGCATATATGCACCATAGATAGACATACACGTATAAAAAATAGTCTTTTTATGGATTACTGTGGTAAAGGCACCCGTGACAAACATAGACAAATAAGGTTCAATTTCTTCTCCTGTTGTCTACCAAGATATCCACTCCTCTCCTCCCACCTCCTATCCATTAGGACACCAAGGGGGAAAGCTGCTCCTTGAAGCTGTGTCACCGGCCAAAAATAAGAATTTGTATTTAATGAGTGAAAAAGAGCACAAGCAGAAACATGAGTCTACAGCCTACTGCCTATGGCACTTATCCGGGATTGCGAGAGTTGCTTGTATTTCTTGCCTGCAGGGCTCTTTCTTTATTTTTATACACAAGTGATGGCATGTAAACCACCGAAGGAGTCCTGAGCACAGGACACCAAACATACGGCACCGTTCCTTCCCCACTGACAAGCGCTTTCACCATCGGGCTAGGCAGTGAGACTTCCCTGTGTAACCAAGTCTCATTTATTTTGGTCTTGTCACCACCACAGAGTAATTCGTCTCATCCCCGAAGCCCACAGAATACATTAGTGAGGGAAAAAAATCTAAAGAAAAGAAAGAGGTAGGAGGCATGTCTATCCTGCTCAAATTGCTGCTCTCTTCTAAATTATAAAACCTTCTTGCAGACAGCGCAGATAGAAGTTAAAAACCTAATAATTCGTGATAATGGCAGAGAAAACATACTAAGTTCTGTTTTCTTTATATCATGAGCAATATGCAGTGAATAGAGAAAGCACCTAAGTGCTGCTGTTCTTATGTCTAGCGTTTCACCCACCAGCGTCCCCAAGCAGAGGTGAAGGCCACAGACTTTTTAGCTCTGTGCAAAAGAACAAAAGCAGTCCCTAACCCAGCCTGTGATTCAGGTAATTCACTGCACAGAAAACGTCAGAATAAAGGGAGGGACACGGGGAGCTGTGCACAGTTACAGGCTGTTTTCACACAGATATGAAGAGCCAGTACCATCTGCGTTTGCACAGATCCAAAACCTCAGTAGCCACCCGTGGCCACCAGACTACGCCATGCCACATGCCGCGGTCGGAAAGGAGAAGACACTGTGACAGATAGTTTCACTTGGAGTTACGTGCACTGGAGTACTTTGAAATGTTTCACCAAAAATATTTTGATGATAAAGAGGTTGTTTTTCTCAAGGAGAAATTTCCCCAGGAGAAGTTCTGCTTTCATCACCATTTTCAGATTCTTCTGAAAACAGCCAAAAAACCGGAACCCTGAACGCAAGGCAGAGGTTCCCAAAATTAGTTGTCTCAACTTCTCCCATTGTTAGAAGACAGATATCAGCTTAGTAGGGCAGAGGAGCTCGAGGCTGGAGAAATGGGCTATGCTCGATGTGACTGAGCTCCTCTGGGGTTTACTCTCGTATCACTTTCCTAACAAGCACATACTGGGAGAGGTTGGCACCTCCACTGCTCGTGGTAACTAAGACAACAAAGTTTGAGAGTGTTCGTCATAAATTGTTGTATGACACTGCTTTTTAATGATTAAAATAAAAAGGCAATGAAAACCCAAACCTTTCTTGCAAAGAGGAGGGTTTCAATTTTGGCAAATTAAATACTGGGGGTCTGTTTTTAGTGAAACCTATGTCCAGTTTTATAAAAAATTTTCATGAGAACTTATAAAAACCTATCAAAGTTGAATAGCAAATAACATTTTCTTATCATAACAACACTTGGAAAAGGAGACATAATATTTCTTATTATTGCTGCCAAGGGAGCGCTTAGTTATTTATTCATCATCAGCACCAACAATCTTGTAACGTGAAGCGCACAGCTCAGGAGACTAAGACTAGCAGTAAAATGCTCTAGTGGGACCGTATCAGATCACTTAATGAAGATGGGCCACATTTGTCTTGTTCTTTTACCCCTTTGTTTCACTAAGTCTATCAAACATTCCCCATGTCTCCCTTTCTGCAGAGTGCAAGGGGAAGGTACTAGGCTGCAAGACTGGGCTGCATGAAGGTCACACAGGCTGAACCTTCTCTTCTGGCTATGGCCAAGCCCTTCTGTGTTAAGAGCAACAAAAAGTTCAGGTGAGCTGATCTGTTTGAATTTTGAGCTTCTCCACCTAGATGGATCAACCAGACGTGCACCACTGAACAGAAGAAATAGGGCAGCTGTAGCCTTAATGCCCCATATGCTGCTTATGGTGAAGGAGTAACAGAATAAAAGGTGAGAGAGCAATCAGCAATGCTGCATAGGGTCTACAGAAAGGAATCACCAAGATGGTTCTAGTCAATAGAGAGATCAAAACCCATTTTTGAGAGCAGACTTCAACAAATGTCCTCTATGGAGTAAACCCCTCCTCTAAATACTCAGGTCCTATTATACTTTGAAATACCTATCAGGAGCTGTCTGAGTGATGAGGCATCGCAGCAGAGTTACAAACTCAACTTTTCGAAATGAGTGTAAAAACTCAATTTTCTCTTCTGTCAGAAACCTCATGGATAACAGTCAGTTTTATATTTTAATGGAAAAGCTTTCATAAATGACACATTAGTCTGAGATGAATAAATAGATTTACATCCATAACAGAAAGAGTCACTGGATCGAGAAAAAGAGGTTTCATATGTAACTGATCATTTTAGATAAGAAAAGACCTAAAAGTGGCTTGATATAAATAAAAAACCATAAAATTGCTTAATATAAAAATAAAATGTTAATGATATATAGAAATATCTGCAAATTTGATACTGTGCAAATTACTGAGTTTACAAAATTTGGAAAGTATCGTCTACTTTGCATTTGATATTAAAAACTGCTTCAGTATGTCATGTAAGACAATCCGTAGCAATGACAATAGTCAGAAAAGTATCCATTCTATATCTAACAAACCTGTATTCAGGAAATCTAACAGCAAATTAAATCCTTAATAACTGCAGAACTGTAAAACTATCTAGTTTTGAAATCTTTTTTGAAATAAAGACAAACTAAAAACTAGGAAAAAAAGACACAAATTAGTATGACTTCCCAAATGGACACTGTTTCCCCAGCCTTTAAAATGAAAACAGTATACAAACAATAGTGAATCCAAAAATTCTAGTCCAGAGCATTCGTATTCTAAGTTCAAGTCAGGAATTATCTGAAATATTTGAATTATGCATGTAAGACTCAGAATTGGCTGACGCTGCTAATAATTATCAGAGGAGAAGTGCCAGGGCATAGCTCATCATCCATGTTATCTACTGCTCCTAAGGATAAAGATGTTTTCTCTGAAACTCTCTGCTTCATCTTACAGCCATAAATTTAACCTGTGGCTTCAGAAAGAGCTTCCCGGACACGAGGAATCTCTGAGGACTGTTGCTCCTTTTACCATTACGACCAGTTTCCAAAATGCCACACTGAATTACAGACAGTTCGGTCCAGTTTGGCAGATGCAACTGCTAAAAACTGAACTGGTTCCCAAGTCTCCTCCAGGAAACTCCACCTGGAGCTCTAAGTGCCCTCTGTTCTGAAGCCCCAGGACACCTTTGCTGAGCTCAGCAGTGCAGCGACCTTTCCCTCCCACCCTATCCTTCCATCCCAACCCATCCTTCCATCCCAGTCCATCCATCCCATCCCATCCCATCCAATCCTCTCTCCCTCCTTCCTTCTTTCCTTCTCTCCTTCCTTCCTTCTTTTTTGCCCAGATTGCTGTGCACCCCCAAAAAGCTACACCTCAGCCCAAGGAAGAGGGCAATGCCAAGGCAGGAGAGGAGCAGTGGAAGCTGCTTACACTACCTTGTAACCTGGGTACTCGGCTGGAATAGAGAAGCCCTTGAATCAAGGTCATTTTGAGCACTAGCCACATTTGACTTAAATCCTGTCTTCACATTCCAGCGCTCTTAGGTGTGTATTTCCTTTTTCTTGACAGACGTTCCACTGAGAAAACATTTTTGTAAAACCTTGGGACAAATGCACAATGTTGACATCATACTTTTACATTATTTTGGAGAATACGCACTTTCTAATTTAACGGAAACAGACATCCAAAAGCTACCAAAGTAGTCTGG